ACGATTTTATATGATTTTATCTTACGTTTTTTTAGGGGAATTTGAATAGATGGTACAAAGTCCTCCAGCCTTTCATACTTTGGAGAACTTCCAGCTATCAAGGAAACTGTGAAGTAAAAGAAGAAAAGGTAGACCACTAATCTATTCAATGCCAAACGTTGTAAATGACGAATTTTTATGACATAAATCACTATTATCGATTTAAGTCATACGGGGCATCAATGGAACAAAAATAATTTTAAAAATAAAAAAAATGAAAAGATTACATCAGAATATATTTTAAAAGGAATGTAATCCTATGTGGCACAAAAGTCAAAGGACTTATATCAAAGTCATCAAATCTGAGGATTAAACCCAACTCCTCAATAATAATGTGGATCTATATAAACTTTTCTATTCTAATTTTCATATTATAATTAAAAGGAACTGTTCTTGGCGCTTCAAAAAAATCATCATGTATTTTTCCCTTATATAATTACAAATGATGAGTGCAAGATGACATTTTTGATTGTCACTAACAGCTCCCATTGACAAAATCTTATTTGTCAATTTTCTTATTTGATCAATATCTCATTCATCGTTTAAGAAATGAAAAACAACAAACTTACCTTAACATTTTAATACATGTAGAACATATTATAGTAAGAGCAGAACATAACGATAATAAGAATTAAGGCCTTCTAATTTTTTGTTAATTTTGATCACATGCCACCCACCCCTTTAATCACAGTCCCGAGTCATAAGGATAATTAGAATTAAGGCTATCCATTCCTGCCATGCTTAAACCTTAACTCCCCAAGTCACTTTGCCATCGCATATAAAATGATTGTTTTGTGATTACATTCTCGTCATGCCCAAAGAATTTTACCATAATAATTTTCCTAAAAAGGAAATATATACAGAATAATATTAATAATGGATTGGAATTTGGAATTTGGAATCTCGGAGTGTACCACTTCATGTGTTGGGATTTAAAAGATGACAGTGAACTCTTTTTGAATTTTGAAGTTCTTGTCGAATGTTTTGTCCTGTAGGGGGGAAGGTGTTATGTGGACTTGTTGCCTACCAATAATAATACACAGGCTTCTAGTTTTCTTATTTTGTTATTTTACTTTAGTAAGTCCAACATATGATTTAACACAAGAAGATCCAAAATTGTCAATTATCTTGCTGTGCACACAAAACCACATTCACCACTTCACATCATGGT